TCCAGCCAATTCCTTATCCACCGAGTGGTCATCCATCAAATCCGTGTCTCTCCAATTTACAGACAAGGATGTCATGTGGGACAGTGTCAAATGTCAAATGTACCAGCTTGATATAGTAGGCACTATTAGGAAGTCTAAGAAAAAATACTTATTTCAGTTGAAAACTACAGCTGTCACTTTGTATCTAACACATTTGTAAGAGTGTGAAGATGACAAGCCAGACAAGAAAACTGCTTTCTCTCCCTTTTGAGACACACACACACAAAATCTCACCTGAAATTCTTAATATTGGATTTCATTCTGTTGAAATTGGTGGTTTTTATGTTTTATTACCCTGTGACTTGTACTAATTATCTGAATACTTGTCAAAAAATTACTTTTTTTTTGTATATGCGACACCACTTTTTTCCTTGTTTAATCTTGAAATATTAGAAATAACAGTGCTATCTTTTTGATTAATAATTAATGCATTGCTGTAAAAGTGGTCTCAAACAGCTGTGGAGATTCAACTAGCCTTCTTAGGTAGTAATAGAACACCATGCCTTTTCAATACATCACTGAGAAGCAAAATAGGATAGAGGAAGTCTCCTACTATTTTGCCTAACACTATGAACTTTATATGGAAGCCAGCTTCAATGTTGAATTGAATGTCCAAAATAAATCTTTCAAGGCACTGATGAAGGAATTTATTGGTCCTGCTTCTGTGCCTCCAGAGGGGACTCTGCAGGTCTGACAAGCACATAGTTAAAATAACAGAAATGCCTGTAACAACCCCTGACCCAAATTTATGCAAGATAAACTTAGACACTGTTTGTCCACCCTTTCGTTTTTGATACACTCACAACACCTAGACACATCAACCTTTTGACACATCACAACACCTAGAACAAATCTACACTGACTACAACTCAAAGAATGATAATGAACATTAGGTAAGTAACTGATCATCTTTGATACTGGAACTTACTACATTAAATAGTTTTAACATCTATCATACTGTCATTTAAAAGCCTAAAAGTAATGCTGTATACAGTATGCCTTAAATCTGATGAAAAAATTGAAAGATAATCAGATAATGTATTTCCTTTTAAAGAAAAGTGATTCCCCCCAAGAAAAAGACAGAAAGATATTAGTGACGTGGTCATATATATCAGGATATCAGGAATTGATGTCAAATACTACAATGGCAGAAATGGCTGTAAAGAGTGGAGAGAGCAATAATTCCTCCCCTGCAAAGGCACTTATCTGCATAGTCGCTCAGGAATCCATACAATGGCATTGTCTCTCCTATGTCTGTGTGAAAACATTGGGAGTTAAAAGACGCCATAACCTTGACCCCATCAGCAGTGTGCTGATAGCACACACAACTCCATTTCCAGTAGATATTAGTAACATATCTGTTCGTATGATAGAATACGTATAAGAGCTAGCCTCCTGTCATTCAAGAACAAATTCTCACTAAAGTAATGCAGCTAGAAATGAGAAAGAGGACAAATTGCTGACCAAGCGCTTGTGGCCAGGTTCTGCTGAATGTATATGCTCCTTCACCAAAATGGTTACATCAGTTTTCCCTGGGCTTATGGTAAGCTGGGTGACTAGGTAGCAACAGTTTGTTTAACAGCTGCAGACCTCCTTCAGTCTTTTAGGAGGACTCATGTTTTTCCCCCAGCATAACGTTTGGCTGCTATAATTGACATACATATTGCTACGATATAATTCATGCTATGCTGCCAGAAACTTCATTTGAAAAAAACCTACACAAAAAATGTAGGTAATAGGACAAGAACTCTATTCCTTCTCTTTAAGATTCAGATTAATTCAATTCCCTTCACCACCTTTTAGTGCCAGTTATCATCTTGATCCTGATTTTTGAAACAGAAGATGACTCAGATACATCAGAAATTGAATTTTAATTTGCAGGTCTACAATAGCTGCATTTCTTGGTGTCAGCGCAAATTAGGAAACACACGCTAAATTGTGTGAGAAGGGGATTGCCACGCTTTTTGTAAAGGGGACCAGGGCTACACATGGTCTTCCAGAACCTAATAGGTAACTCCAGAGCTGAGCCAGAATTGAAAAGCTTATAAAGTCCTCCTATGAGAGTATTTTTGCTTTAACTGGAATTCACAACTTGATTTATTTCCCTTATTACCAAATCCTCTGCTGCTACCATGCTTCAGTACTGGAAGTGTCAGAAACTTCTGCACGAAGGCACTCAAATGCAGTGACTGGCAACCATAGAAAAATTGTAAATCTTCATAAATGCTGAACTTCAGCATGTGCCTGAAGTTATCTGGATGCAAGTAAATGATACGCTGAGTTGCAGTCAAGGGAAAATCAAAATAAAGGTCCAATGACCTGGATTTTAAAATAGTCCAATGCAGGTAAGCTTGTTTCTCGATTGCTAATGCATTTTCATTGTAACAACTTCCTAGGTGTGTTTGGGATTTGCAGTAAGCCTTACGAAAAGTATGTGTGGAATGGCAAACTTCTGGAGGCAGTGAAAAATACTGTTCATCGGGACTGGTTGCTGTATATTATTCATGGATTCTGTGGGCAATCAAGTATCCTTCTACTGTTGTAACGAATGTTGGTTTATTGATTTTTTTTAATTTTTTTTTAAAGTTTAAACATGTGAAATACATTGAATTATTTCTTTAGCCATGTAAATACTTTCCAATTTTAGAATTATTGCTTGACTTTTACTTTTCTAGGTTTTATGGTAAATAAGAAATACGGTTATGGTCTTATAACAGGGCCCTAACACAGGTAGGCCGCATTCTCAGGGAGGCACTGTTTCTAAGCGTGGGTTCAGTAATAAAGAACTTTAGAGGATTTTAACATTCAGCTGTAATGTTTTCACAGATATTTGGGGAAAGAGAGAAAAGCTAAATAGAATTGAGTTGCTGATTTAGAAATGTTCTTTTACTAATCTTCTTCAAAACATTTTTTTTAGTGACTGAGGTTTGCAGAAATTCTTGTATTTACTCTTTCTGTTGAAGGTGATAGAACTTCAGACCTGCTGTGTGAAGAGAGTTAAGTAAACACTAGAACATCTGAAAATCTTTTTCCCTGACTATATATTATTTAAAATGGGTGAATGGGCCTACGTAAATTGTAGTAGGAGGAGAAAAAGCCTAAATGCATATCATACTCCAAAGAAATGTCATCTGAATATCTTAGTTGATAAGAATTTAGTATATTAGAGACACTCTAATTTATTCATCAACATATTAGTTTAAAAGCATGACAACAAAATATCTGGGGAAGCAAATACAATTATGAAGTTAAGGTTAGTGGTGTCTTTGCAAAATTTAATTTTGCTTTTTCATGATTGTAAGGTTGCTGATCATTGACCTAGTCCCCCGACGGGAAGATAGATATGTTTTTGTACACCACTATTTCATCTGTAGTCTTACTTAATCAAAGTAGTAGCTGTGGATCTGACCACCAGCATTATGCCTGCAACTGCTTGGTGTGTGAGACAAAAGCCTTTGAGATACTTGATGAGCGAATGTTGTCCCTCTTTCTCGTGCCTCCCTTACGCTAAGGAAGCAGAGATAGTCACACTAGACATCTGAGTCTATCTTTTTTTGTTGTTGTTTTTTAGGCTTTTTATTTTTTATTAAAGAAAACCACCACTGCATCTGTAGCTGTATGTCTCTGGCTTTCAGTTGTTGTTACTTAAGAAGCTGCAAATTTATCTCCTTTTCCAGACAAATAATTAGAGGGTGACTGATATACCTGATCTGAAAATAGAAGCTCCCAGGCTTTAATCCCAGTATTCACAAAAGCAGTATATGCAGCCCAAAGTGAATCTCATACCTATTTCACCTCCATTGTCACTTCATAACATAGAAATAGTTTTCTTCTGTGTGTAGTGAAAAGTGGTTGATGTATTGTAATGTAAATTCCCCTTTCAAAGTTCTCAAAAACGATTGTTGAAAAGGGCAATGCTCTCTCCCAGCTGCAAACCTGCAAAAGAAAATTGGAAGGGATACTCATCACTGTTAAGGAGATTTTAGGAAATCAGATGTTTCTGTTTCATATGCTTTTTTTAGAGTTTATTTTTGCTTACGTGAAGTAAGTGAATGAAAATTTGCATGTGACATGTAAACCTTAACTTCTCTTTCAAGAGCTGCTAATATACGGTCGCCCTATATATGTCACTCTGATAGCCAGAAGATCAAGCAAATTTGCTGGAACACGTTTTCTGAAACGAGGAGCAAACTGTGAGGTAAATTAAATGTAATTCTAGGGGTTCCCCCACCCCCAACAATGTGAAAGCTTGACTGACTGAAGACACATCATATGTGTATTTCTGTTTTAGGGAGATGTTGCTAATGAAGTGGAAACTGAACAAATACTTTATGATGCTTCAGTTATGTCATTTTCGGCAGGGAGTTATTCTTCCTATGTTCAGGTTCGAGGATCTGTCCCTCTATACTGGTCTCAAGATATTTCAACTATGATGCCTAAGCCACCCATAACATGTATGTACATATTATTCTTTGTGATAGATTATGGTTAGTGCTGTGTCCTAAAGAAATACCTGAGAGAGTAAGTGAAAACTAAAGTTGCAAAAACGAAAACATTGTCTATGCATTTGTTCTTTGGGAAACCATCATTTAAGGTAAATCAGTGTTTTTTGTAATAAACATAATGACATACAAACATTCAACCATATAAAAAGTTGCATTTAATGAAATCGTATTGAAAAAAATCTCCATCTTAGACTTCACATTCAGAAATGGAATACAAAATACTTCTGTTTGAAGAAGTCAGTTTTCTTTTTGCCTATTTTATATACAATGTTAGCTACGTTTATCTTAGTATCGTGGATATCATTTTGAACCTATTGAAAATGGTGGAAAACATCTGGGCTAAGTTTAATGGGGTCAGAATGATTGCTCTTTGTAAGCATCTCATGAAAGTTTTGATTAAGAAGTTGCTTCCAATTTGGAAAAGGGAAGGCTTTTTTTAACAGCTTTTGCATGAGAAGAGGGGAAAGTATCTTTCAGAGAAAGTATCTGTGTCAGAGAATTAGTATGTATTTTGTGAAGAGTACTTTTAAGGGAAAATTATTTAACTGACTCTACAGCTCGCTTAATATTGTCCTGAATATATGTATTTGTTGCAGTGGACCAAGCAGATCCTTTTGCACATGTTGCTGCTCTTCACTTTGACCAAATGCTTCAGAGATTTGGCTCTCCGATTATTATTTTGAATCTTGTGAAGGTACAATCTTTTGAATATGTTCTATATGTTTTCTAATTTTTGATGTTATACTTATTTCTGTAGAGTCTCTGTGTGATTTTGGTTGTGTTCTAAATTAATATTAGCTTATAAACGGAATATTTTCTTCATAAGTCTCATCCTACATGCTATAATAGATAACTCTCTAACTGCTTCCATTACTGCCCTTCAAAAAAAAGAAGTTTCCCATGTTTATAGACTTCTTACACTAACCTTTCACTGTTGTTTTCAGGTTTTTGCTACTACCCCTTATATGTAAGTCCAAATAAATTTATCACTAAATTTAATTTAGCACTAAAAAATACTAAAACAGTATGGCTCCATGCAAAGTGACATCTGTAGGCTTCTTGACACAGATGACAGAGTTATTTGAAATATTGTGATAAAGGCTTATCTTCTGTTGTTTGCTCTGTCTGGTGGAGTCATGGAAGCATGAGCGGGAGAGAAAATGGAAGCATCTATTGCTGGCTAAGGGACAGTGCCAGTGGGGCTGGACTAATGCAGGGAGCTTCATGATTGCTGCAGTAATTCAATTCACTGCTGTGTGAGAGGCTGTGGTACAAAGCCTGGATACTGGCTGGCACTGTAATTTTGGTTATTACATCTGGTATTTGTGAGGGTTTTTTTGTGGTTGGCTTTTTTTTTTTTCTGTTCTGATCCAACCATTTTCTGTGCTGGTCTCTGTTTCTACATTTGAGTTTAATATATTGATTTGCTTTGCTTGAATCATATCTTATTTCTTTTTAGTCTTTAAAAAAATAATTTAATTTATCATGTTGTAGAACTGTATTCAGTAGAAAAAAGGGTCTTTTATGTGCATATAGGATCTGTTCCTAGTATAAAAAAATAGGAAAAATACAAAAGGGAGGCTTTTAAAACTCTTAAGTTGTTATAAATGGCAACTAGATAACCTATTTTCTATTTCTAGAAGCTTTGCTGTGTAGGAGTGCTTTTAAGACTGTCCAAGAGTCTGTGGAAACAACTTGGGATAGCATTTGTTGACAAGAAAATTATTTTATCTCTTGCAGCCATTGTTACAGTGCGAGTCTAGGCTCACGTGACCTTGACATGTGAATCATTAAATGCTTTTGTTCACAGGGCTTTTGATACAGTGGCTGAAAATGCATCACTTTTTTTCCCTCTCTGTACATGCTCAGTATTAAGATACTAAAATTCATGTTCCTTTATGTACCACTTAAAAAACAAAACAAAAAAAAAAAGTGAGGTGGGGAGGAAGCCCCCAAATCTGAACACCTTTTTCTGGATGCTGTTGCTTTTACAGAAATGCTAAGCACTTCTGTGTCCAGTACTTTTATTATTTGATTTCTTAAATGTTAATTAAATGCAAATCTATATCCTCCTATATCTGTCTATCCTAGAAACTTGTTAACTAATAATGAATGTATTAGGCTTCCTTTGGGTTTTTTTATTAAGGACTACTATTATATATTTAAAACAGTTTCTATAACATAGCTTCAGTATAGGTTTTAGTTTGGATGAAGTTGAGAGGAAAGCTGTACTAATATATAGAGCGCCAAAACATGTGATATATTCAGAGAACGGCAGCATAATTCTGATTTTTTAAAATGGGAGACAGGAGCTGTTGTTCACCGTCTCCTGTCAGTAATGGAGAAGAATTTGCCTGGGTCCTCTTGTACCCTAGAATTGAACTGGATACTTTCCTTTCTGCCTGTCCTTTTCCTTCTCTTTTGTCTTAGTCTATTTCCTCTGTATTACCACTTTTGTTTCCATTTTCTTTGCTCTTATAGGGTTCCATTTTTCAGCCAATGATTATGCACAGGTTTTTTTTTTACTACCAGTGCAGATCAATTGTTAAAAACCCAGAATGTTTAGATTTTTCTGTCTCTTCGGTCCTTAATTTAATTGCACTAGTTATGAGGAACTGCCCGCTGTTTTTACAGCTTCCATTTTTTAACTTCTGTTGTATATACCTATATGTGTATGTATATGGGTTACGTACGTTTGTTAATGAAAATTGTAATGTTAACTTCATTTTCTTTTTGCTAAAGGAACGTGAAAAAAGAAAACATGAAAGGATTCTTAGTGAAGAACTTGTTGCTGCTGTGACATATCTCAACCAGTTTTTACCCCCAGAGCATGCAATTATATATATACCCTGGGATATGGCCAAATACACAAAAAGGTAGAAAAGATCCTTCTTTGTACTAGTGCTTTTAGCCGCAGTACAAATAACTGTATGTTACTGAGCGTGTTGCTTTTCAGTTGAACGTAGCTTAGGAATGATAGGAGAATTTTATTAAGATCTATGGACAGAATAAAACCTCAGCTTTCTGAAGGATTTTGAATGTTTTCTATGGTTTCTTACCAATATGGAGCAAGGCCTGAAAACTTTTAAATTCTCCGCAAAGGAAAACTTTAGATTTTGTTGACAGCCTTCAACATTCACTTTTTATTTTGAATTAGTCAAAACACTGCATTTTGTCAGGTGTTCCATTTCAGTCATTGAATTTATTGAGTTAAAAAATTTTAGAAAAGAAAGGGTTTCATACCAATTAGTCTTTTCCATTTCCTCTTCCAAAAGGAAACAAGGGCATTAATTTCAGTGTTACAAAACATTTAGATTATTAGAAGCATGTATCTTGGAAAGCCAAATACATTCTGTAACTTTTTATTCCATAATTTTGGACAACAGAATGCTGTACTAGGATCATGTGAAAAGGATTAATGTTTTCCTAGATGTAGAAATATTTACAAGGCACAAACATTTTAAATCTACAGGTATATATTGCTATTCTTAAGTAACACACAACTCAGTTGTAAAGTTCTCTGATCTGCCTATGTCTACTGTACCTTATAATGCCAGAAGAATGATAAGAAGTGATGTATCAACTTTCAGGTATATGTTATTCTATCAGTTTGAGCAAAACCATGGAAAAACTGGTATGGTTCGAAGGGCAAGAATATAGTTAATGTTTGTCAATTAAAATTTTGTGAGAAAAAGCTTTGGAAAACAATCCTTATTCACTGTTTGAGATTACAAGTTGGTTGATACTGTTGGTCATGTAGGTGTGAAACTGTTGCTTTAAAGTTTGATTCTTTATTCTAAAATAGCATTGTGTATAGTTAGCTGTATATGCAATTGTTTGTGTTTATGATTAAATAGCAAATGTCAAAATAAGGCTAGATTTCCTTTCAGAAGATATGCTAGGTGCAAGTTCTTGGGTTTCCTATGGAGTGATGCTGATGCTTAGTGGTCCGTCCTATGTGGGAAATGATACTAAGTGATCCCAGGATTCCCCTTCTAGCTTTAAGCTTAAAGTATATTTGTATACATATCCACCCGAGTACAGATATAAAAAATACCTGAGGGCTTTGAACAAGACTAATTATTTATGCAAGCAAGAGACATTTAAGAATGGAAGATAATGTATATGTCTGCCTAAAGAATTGATGGTTTCAGGAATACTGAGACACGTGTTTGCTTTATCATGTAGCTTTGAAGTCAGTTTGCTGGTGTTGTGGTTTAACCCCAGGTGATAACTAAGCACTGTGCAGCCACTCGCTCACCCTTCCCACCCACCTCTGCATTCCCCCGCCCCTGCAAGGGGATGGGGAGGAGAATGGAGAAAGAGAAGAAAGGAGAATGGTTGAGATAAAGACAGTTTAATGGGATAACAAAGGAAGAGAATAATAATAATAGTAATAACAATGGTAACAATAATACAAGTGATACACAAATACAATTGCTCACCACATGCGGAAGGAAAAAAACCCCGATGCCCAGTGTGTTCCCGAGCAGTGATCCCGCCTCCCAGCCAGCTTCCCCAGCTATATCCGGAGCATGATGTTTTTATGGCAGGGAATATCTCTCTGGCCAGGCTGGGTCAGCTGTCCTGGCTGTGCTCTCCCAGCTTCTGGTGCACCTGGCAGGGCGTGAGAAGCTGAAAAGTCCTTGGCTTGGTGTAGACACTACAACTAACAATTGTTTGTTTTTGTTACTTGAAATGTAAACTCTGTAATAAAAACTTTGACAATAACATTATGAGTAAACAGAAGTTAACAAAGAATGGATGGATGCCCTGATCTGAGCAGGAGGTACAGGACATCTTGAAGGCCACACATGGAAACAAATGTTACTGAACAAAACAGCACCTTGCAAACAAAATGACAGAATATGGTTTATCTTACATCCTTTTCTGCCTCATTCTTATTTTGTGAATCACAGAAAGTTTGGTAGAGGAAAATTAGTGTGATATAAAAGTCAAGGAGTTTTAGATTTTTGAAGTCTTGCACTTCTAGTTTATGTAATATGTTTTATTAAAAAGTAAACAAAATTGCTCAGACATGGTCAGTGTCTGTTTCCTAAGTCTGTAAAATCTAAGAAAACTAGACATAATTACTGTTGGATAAATAAGGCTGTGATGCGAGTCTTTCTTTAAATCATTTTTGTTATTAAAAGACTTTCCAAGCAGTGAAAACTTTTTTAGTATTAATGTAGCTTGATCGATTGTATTTTTTTTCCCTCTCTTCAGCAAACTTTGTAATGTCCTTGATAGACTGAATGTGATTGCAGAAAGTGTAGTAAAGAAGACTGGATTTTTTGTAAATCGACCTGATTCCTACTGCAGTATCTTGCGGCCAGATGAAAAGTATGTCTAATTTAATTGATGCATAATGAATAACATCTATTCCTTGGAGACCTGTCTGGAATTTCTATGTCCATTACATTATTTCTTATTTTAAGGCTTAAATTAATATAAAAAATATAATTCTTTATTAAGTTATAGCTAAAAGGATTACAGTCAGAAGCATGTGCTAAGAAATAATAATACATTGAAAGAGTACAATTATACTGCTGCTGTTCTACTTATAATGAATTCTTACTTCAGACCAATATTTGTAACTTGTAATCTATGCCATGTGTGTTTTATATAAAAGTTGGGGTTTTTTTTCCACCTTAACCAAAGGAATCCTAAATTTTGGGGGTAAATTTAACAAAGCAAACAACATTTGGAATTTAATAAGTGGCTTCTCTTGAGGCATGCTAATAAGATAACTATCATCTAAATATTACTGAATCTGGTGTTTTCCAATGGATTTTATGGTATTCATACAAAATTTTAAAATATTTTTAAAACAGAAAATGTATTTGCTTAGACTACTGCAGAAGTACAGTGATTTAATCAGCTGAATTCTCTCAAGTCCCTGAAAATCCAGAAGTAGAATAATTTCTGCATTCCAATTAATAAGTTTTTGATTCAAATTTTCATGTTAGGGATCTAATTCATCACCACCCAAATGGGTGTTCATATTTTACACAAAGAGCATCCTTGCCTTTTTAGCCTGTGTTCATTTAGAAACAGTCTGAGCTAAAACTCTCGTAGGCTTTCTTGGAGCTTTTCTCTGCCATGCAGTGCAGGAAAAATGCTGACTATAAACTAGCAGGAACAAGATCAATCCATCCATCTAATGCTGTGTTCTGTAGAGATAGTCTGATGAATCTCAAATGTAGCCTGTAGGCTTGCCATACCAGTGCTCTGGTCAGGCTAGGTAACCCTACTAACGTGAAAATACTCAGTAGTTCAGGGATTACTTGCACCGAGCGTTAACTGCTCCTCTACCTCAAAATGTCATTAATTTCTGATTCATGTTCTCTGGCTCTGGGGTACATAATTGCAAGACCTGGACAATGTGTAGATATGTATGTATCCAACATGTGTGCCTAGAGTCAGTATGAGGGGGAGATTTAAATCAACCAGCTTGTGCTACAGTGGATGTTATGCCTCTACCTTCCCGTCGTTGGCATTGCACCTACTTCAGTTTTTGTGTGCTCAAGACTTGATCTAGCAATCCTTGGAGCAAAGGAAATATTTTGTATAGCTTTGGAATATTTCTACTTTAAGGCTAGATATTTTTTTTTTCTTGCAATGTGGTTTAAATACAGCATCTTACTGCTGCATGGAGTTTTCGCTGCTTTCTGCTATTCAGGGATATCAGTTTTGCTTTGTGGCAGGTTTTTAATTGTCACCCTTTTTCACTGAGCAGATCAATACATGGTATGATGTGTTATTTTTGAAAATTATTTCTAAGTCATTCTAGTTTGTTTCTCTTTCAGGTGGAATGAACTGGGAGGTTATGTTGTTTCCACTGGTCGCTTGCAGGTACTAAATTATGCTTTATGAATTCATAGATGTAGTGATGGAGATCAGCACTCCCAAAGCACCGGTGAACCATTTCACTTTAATACCTGATTGGAGATTCACAGAGTGCTCTTAAATGAACATTTATAGTAAACAGCATTATTGCTGTCCATCCCAGAAATCCAATTAGGAAATAGGGCTTAAAGTTCTTGCGCAGTACCGCAAAACCTTATGCTGTTGGTATTGTATTTTTGCTGGAGGTAGTCTGAGAAACACTCGTATTTTAAACTAGTTTCCATTACTATTTAGTCTGTAGTTTTACCAGTGCAGTGAAAGTTAAAACAGCAGTATTTTAGCAAACTGCATAATATAGTGTTATACAGAAGAGGTGAGGAATAAGCATATTTAAGCCTGGTGACATATTCATACACATGAAAATGGGTTATTAAAAGTATTTTCACCAGTGCTGAGTATTTTGTACATTGTTACACTGTCCATCACTAAAAGAAAATAAAACTAGAAACATTGCTTTCTTTAAGGTCAGAAGAATGCTGACTAAATTGTAAACAATACAGTACCAGACTTACACCTGAATGTTATGACTGTATACTCTGAACACGGGGCATATTCTTAAGAAGCATTGGTTGCTTTCAACTTGCCATTCACAATTTTGTAGTTCATGTAAGTTAGAAAGCATGTGACTGTTCCTTTACTAGCTGATCACTGGGATACGTTTGTGGAGGCCAGATAAACAGCAGAGTAGATTTGAAATAAAACATATCAGTGCTAATTTGATTATTTTTTTTAATGTTAGTCTTACAGGTTTACCTGCATTAGGGGAATGGTTATTTTATCTTTCAACTTTAATCATTTGAGGTAATCACTATCGGCATACATGTAAGCATTTGGATCACAGTTCATCTCAGAATAGACATCTTGTGCTTCTTTATTAAGGCAATAAAAGTTTAGTTGACTAGATTGGATGTAGCCATATATATTTAGGCAGAAGAATTCCCCATGCTGTTGTATTAAAATATGTTTCTTGCAGCTGTTCATATTATAAAATAACTTTGTGTTCATTGTGGAATTGAAGAACCGTGATGCAAGCAGCATAAAAGAATATGTGCATGACTGTGACCTTCAACAAAATGTTCATGTGTGTTGCTTCAGATACAGGAAGCTTAAAATACAGGCACCATCGCAGTAGAACGACAGCAAGTTAGAAGTGTGCTTTATTTTTTGCAATAGTTACAGTACACTTGAAAACAAGCCCGTCTTCACTGAAATAACATAGCTTTTCTTTTTAAGGTAAATCTTTAGGGCTGTTTGTGATTTGAAGGAGAGATGCAGTTTGAGTGATGATAGAAGCAAGAATACTTTGAAAGTAGGCATTACAGCAGCCTGATGTAGCTTGCTAGAGATGAATTGCTTTTTAACATTTTTTTAGAAATGTCTTTCCTCAAATTTTTGTGAACTGGCATGATTTGAGATTTGGCATGTCTTGGATAGTAGGAAAAAAGTAATAATCATGAGTGTAGTAACTTGTTAATTAAGAAAAATCTCTTATTTGGATTGCTTTGCCAGACTGGAGTTCTCCGAACCAATTGTGTGGACTGTTTAGATCGCACTAACACAGCCCAGTTTATGGTGGGAAAGTGTGCTTTGGCATACCAACTCTATTCATTGGGACTGATCGATAAACCAAACTTACAATTTGATACAGATGCTGTTAGGTAAGATATATTAATATAAGTGTGTCATGGTTTTATTTTTTAATTTTGTGTCAAGAGATTTAGGAAAATTATGTCGATGTAGAAGAAAAGTCTAATTCTTTCTGTTGGAATGATTTACTAATGTTTATTCATCCAAGTTTAAAAAATCTTGCATACTTGAGATTTTCTTGAAAAAAAAGTAACACCAAAAATTTGCTTTTCTGGAAAAGTATGTTAATCAACCTTCTTACAAGATAACTGCTTGACTTCATTCTCTTTATATGTCTAAACTTAAAGTCAAGAGTTTTCCTTTTAAATAAATGTAACAAAAAATCCATCCGAGTCTTTTACACTTACTTCACTTGCTTGAGGCAAAATACTGATGAAAAATGAAAACTGAAATAAATACATGCTTTTATGGAGAATGCCAAACTGCTATTTGTATAGAAGTACATCTTGTCTTGGTAATTCCTATTTTTCCTTTGGAAAAATTTTGTGCTTATTGATTTATTGAAGAAAAGTTTTCAGCAAAGTTGTTTTCTCAGATCAAGTATCAATGATACTAATTCAAGCATCCTCAAACCGTTTAAGAAAACCCAGCATTTAAATTGAAATACTTTAGGAGTCAGGGGCATGTAAGCTACATAGCTTGTCAATATACTTCAGAAATTAATGTAAGAGTCCTTGAGGTGATGTGGTTTTATTCCTTAAAGCCGTTGTCATGACTGTGAAACTTCTGGCTTCGTTGCTGGTTTTAACTAGTGGTTTGATAGTTTTAGAACGTGGTGATGTAACTCGTATTTCAGAAAAGATAATGTACTCTGTCTCCCCTCTCCTTTACTGGAGACTTTCCTTCAGCTCCTCTTCTTTCTCCCATTAGCGTCCAGCACTTGCCTGGTGCCAGGAACTGGTATGTGTCACAGAAACAACCTCACTTGCAGTATGTTGGCTCACTGTGCAAGCGGTGGCTCCTGGCCTCTGCCTGATGGCCGGGGAGAGCACCCGCTGGCTGGCTTCCTTGGTGTGCGAGCAATGCCTCTCATGCACCGCGTCCCAGCTGCTGGGTGCCGCGCGTTTACCTCTGGGAACGAACAACTGCTGCTGCCGATACCAGTCGCTGTGCAGCCTCCTGGGGACTTGGCAGTCGGGACTCTTGGGTTCTAACTGGAGGGGATCAGGAGGTGGACAGGTCTCTTGTATCCGCTCTCTGTGGTATCCTCTACAGCTACCACATACTTCAGCACCTCAGGCTGCATTTTACTATCTTTCCTTAGGCTTCACTACTTACCCACTTCCCACCCCTGTTTTGGGAGCCCAGATTTCCTCTGTTGCTTCCTGCTGCAATAGTCCCATGTTTCCTGTCTGCTCTCCCTCCTGTTTCCTCTCTATGCCCCAGCCACCCAAATTTCCATCTCTTACCATCATCTCTTACGATTGTAGTAGCTGCTTTGTCTCTGATTTTCCTGATACCTTATTTCTCATTATGTCTCTGAAATGTAGCTATTAGCCTGGCATAAAAGGTTACTTTTAGCTGACCACATTTGACTTATTTTTTTCTTCTCCATTGCGTTAGATGTATGCCTGTTTGAAACAGATTTTGCCATCTGTTAAGACTTGCTTCTGATTTACTGTGTTCAGAATAATTAAAAAATCCTGCTCCATAATGCTTTGAATTCTGCAGACAGGCACATTCTATACTGTCTCTCATTTGTGCAGTCTTCACTTTGACCTGCTGCTTTCTTGTTGCTTGTATTGTCTCACATCAAGTATCTGCTTCCTGCGTACTCTGCCTCCTCATTTACACTTGTCTACCTGGCTAAAGAGGGTAATCTGTAGTGGTCCATCTTCCTTAATTTAGCTAACGTGTCTGAAAAACTTACCTTGTTTCATCACGTTCTTTGACTGTCCTCCTTCTTACTCTGATTTTTCTCATGTGATCTCACTGGCTGGCTACAATCCAGAATTTCCGTTGAACTAATGCTGAAGTCAGCATTTTATTTCAGTTGGCCATCCTCAAGGATAAAGAAACCATGTGTCTTGAACAGTCTGATTTTGTGTCTAGCAGGATTAATCTTAATGACTTTGTTGCACAGGACCATTTCTGCAAGCTATATTTCTTAGTGATTCCTTCAGTGTAATTGTTGTCCTATCTAGGAAGTTTCCTAGACGAAGTGTACCTTATTTTATCATACGTAGTTAATTTTCTCTCTGCAGAAGACTAGTTTTTGTTTGACTAGAGGCTTAATATTTTGAGGCTGTGGAAGGGTAATTTAATTCTACAAGTCCTTTCCAAAGTGAGTCAATGTCCTAAACAAATTTAAAGTTGTCTCCTTTCTGTGAACTTTTATTGCAAGGTCATTGGAACTCTGTTCATCAGTCTCCCATGGCTGACTGGGAAATTTTTGAGAGGTGTCATCCTTTTACCTGCCAGGTTTTGCCTTCAACCAGCTTTTTAGCTTTTAGTTGACCAGCATTGCTGTCTTTCCCCTTGTATAAAAAGAACAACCCACCAAACCCAAAGAAACAAACAGGAGATTCTCATACATGGTATCATGAGCTCTGAACAATTTGTGTGGAGGCAAGTGGGTTTAGGTTTGTTTCTTTTGTTGTTTGGGTTGGGGCTTTTGAGGGTTTTTGGGGGGGTGGTTGTTTGAGGTTTTTTTTTTTTTTTTAAAGTAGTAAGCAGATGTTTCCTCCTAATTGATCTTCTTGTACTTGACCTTGGGCAGAAGATTTGCCGGACAGCTGTTTTGTTTTTACAGAAATTGATTTGCTGCTCCGATAAGTATCTTCATCCAGAACCTTTTGAGGAGGACTTCAGTCAGATCATTGCTGGGTTACTTAGGCAGTACTGTCCCGTTACTGGAAACTTTCTTAAGGGAATGCTTTTGTTGTTTTGTTTTGTTGTTGTTTCATTTGTTTCTACCCTCTTTTCCACTTCTTAAGGACTTCTTTCTTCTCAGGTATTACAGTGTATCACGTGCAGATGCCTGAGTTACTGTGTCTTGCTATACTTCTGTGAAATACATTTCCACAGGTTTGGTGGTTGGGTGGTTTGTTTTGTTCTGTTCTGGTTTGGTTTTTTGCTTCTTAACTAAAGTTTCAGCCTCTTTTAGCAAGATGTCGTCCTTGTCGCTGTCTTGCTGAAGCAAGGCCATAGTCTCCATTTCTAGAGAAGCACTTTTTAATCTCTTAGACTGGGTATCATCTCCTTAGGATAGCCTTGTTTTCTGAAACCGTTGTCTTGTTTTTGTCAATGAGCGTCTTGATAATTTTTGCTATTTGGACTGCTCTCAGCTTGGAGTCTACTGTCAACTTCTTTATGCTAGCGGACTGCATTGCTTTTAGCCAGCTCTTCTTGTTCATCTTAGTGGCCAGCTCTTTCTACCTTCTTTTTACATCATGTTTTTCTAGCTTCAGCAAACGGTATCTGACTGCCATTCATGTTTCTTTCAAGTCATGTTTATGTGGTTTGTACCTTTGAGGCATCATTATTGTAACGAGGACGATTTTTGGGAAGTTAGGCTAACTTCATTCCTAGTGGACTTGACAGAAAACATAGCCTTGATATATTGATGTGTTGTGTCCTATTTCGTATGTTTATTATTTTTCTTTTTAAAAAACCCCTCTTTTCAGGAGTTTGATAGATGACACAGTTTGCTTTTCCTTCAGATTATTTGAAGAATTATATGAAGATCATGGAGACACGCTTTCTCTGCAATATGGAGGTTCTCAGCTTGTCCACAGAGTAAAAACGTACAGAAAGATAGCTCCATGGACTCAACATTCCAAAGATATTATGCAAACACTCTCAAGATACTATAGTAATGCTTTCTCAGGTAAATTTAATTTAAAGTGCTTTCTTTTAAGCCATTATTTTAAAAGCATTTTACTTGTGATGTTTCAATAATCCATACTGTGATCTTATGACAGACATCCTTTCTACTATTATTTCCAAATAATTCAGTAAAATCTGATGGATATCAAATGGGTATTCTGGTTTAAGATATTTATATCCTATGCAAATGCATTTTGTAGCATGCAGCCTTATTTGATAAAAGTGAACTGATGTAAGAAGTATTTAGAAAATGTACACATGTAGTGCTGAAATTGCCAGCGACATTTGTAGGTTCAATAGAGAAGCAGGTAGCTGTTATAGAGCAGTTAAAATGGTGGACAGAATGTCTTCAACAAATGTAAGGAAACTGGTAAATCTAAACACAAGTAGAAAGCTTCAAGTGGAGTATTTCTTGTGATGTTTCTGGGGACGTCAACCAAAAAGAAAGCTCTGATGCGCATAATTTTTCTATATGAATAGAAGCTACTAACTGTTGGATTTGTGGTAGAAAAGACAAAATTAAATTAAAAAAACAAGGTCTACCAAGTAAATAAGCTATTTTTCAGGTTAAATAAATTCTAAAATATTAACTTACTCCTTTACTAGCTTGTATCAGTCACATATAGTGTTCTACTTTGTTCTGGACAAACTACATTGCTAAGAGAAAACTTTCTCTTTGAAAAACGCTGAGCCATACCTTATGCAAAATAACTAAAAAAACCCCAAAACCCATTCTTGGTGTTTTTAGAAGTCATGAGAAAGATCTAAAAGAATGATCAAAGGACAGTCTAAGACATGTCAGGATGACAAGCATTGAGTGCTGCTGTGTTCTAAATATTGTGTCAGACCTCTATTACTCTTTTTTACAAAAGCTGCATAGCCAGGGAAGGAAGTAGCTTTTTTTTTTTTTTTCCCTAGTAGACTGCAATTATTTAAAAACTGTGTGAACTTTAAAACAGTGAGTTGGACACTGGCTAGAGATACTTCAGTAATCTCTAGTTTCTTTGGCTGAAGTTATTGCTTTTGTTAGTGACAATTCTGTTTATGTGACAAAATGTGAGAGCACAGCATTTAAAGTACTATTTCTGAATGCAATCAGTGGAATTTGTGTGTCATATTTACCCAAATCAAATGAGAAATGGAGAGCTTGTTTATTTCAGTGATATGGTCTCTTTTTGTTTGCAGTGGCAATAAGGTACGGCTTCATCAGTTTTTATGAGCCATAGGAAGCACACGTGCAGTATCACCTGTACTGATAAGTACAAGATGGAACAAATCTCTGAAGCTGTTCACTTTCATGCCAGACACTGAAATGGTTAGGTGGACACTTGAGCTAAGTTGTAGATCCACATTTGGGGTTATGGTTGGCTTGCAAAAATAGTCACAATATGTATATGTTTTAGTAATAAAATAATATATTCTGAAAAAGATGTTACAAAAAGAAGAAAGAATACAGAATTTTAAAAGTCCATCTTGTCACCTGAGCCAACTTGTAGCTGAGTACACAAACAGATGTAAGTCTTTAGTCGAGTCAGTATGAAAAATGAGACTTCTGTAAAGGTGCTGCACACTCCCCAATTTACTTATGATTTTGGTATTTGACCCCATTTAGGCCAAATATTTTTGGTGCTTTATGCATTCCTTGCGATTGAAGATGGCATTGTTGAAATTCATTGTTGTATTTACTGCATTTTTAGTATGACATTTTAAAAGATTAATTTCAGTGAAATGTAAAGGTTCACTGTTCAGCACTGCCTGGTCAGGTCGCATCTGCAAGCCTGTTAATGTGACACGTTGAGAGGGAGATTATTTTATTCTTGAAGTTTTCTCAGAAAGCAGAGATGAAGGAAGCATTTTTAGAACAACATTCTGCTTTGCTATACTGCACTTACTATTGTTAATATCAATCATGTATCCTTTATAATACAAATAAGAATCTGAGGGCTAGCCAATTCATGAGCCAGCATTTCCTCATGTTTCTGATCTGAGAAACCTCTTTTAAATGCTTATGAATTTTATCTACCAGTAGTAAACACTCAGAAAATTCTAGTGATTTGCTCGAAGTCATACAATATATCAGATTCAGAACAAGATTACAAGTGGCCTGCTAACAGTGCCTCCTAAATAAATCACTTAACCACACTTGTTCTATTTGTCTATCATTAAAAAATGCATGATTCTAAAAATAATTTACACTTTTAAGAAAGTGGTTTCATCTGTTGACCTCAAAGCTCTTTGGATAATCACTACTACTTAAGCTGTACAGATGAGATGATGACATGTATTGGTTAAGTGACTTGCCTGGAGATGCTAACTCAGTAGATAATACTTGGACTTGTCAGAAAGATAACTTTGAATGCAGTTTCACCCTAGTTCATGATATGTGGCTTAGGTTTTCCATAGATTTTCTGTACCTATGAATTTGTAATATGTTGCCTATGTAATAGAAGAGTGAAGAATTAATAAAAAAAAAAATGTTCTCAGGATCAAGTTAGTGACAAGCTTAGAAGAAAAGCAGGGTTTCCTCCTAAAAATATGGGACAATTAATTTTATGGTAACTTGAAAAAATCTTCCAGGTTTAGGCAAAAATTCTGACTTTTTTTTTTCATGCATGTTTTTAATTCTAGCATTTGAAAAAAAGTAGAGGGTGTAGTATAGTTTGGAAAGTCAACTGTTTTGAAGTATCCTGGTTATAAGCAAGTGAGTTTTACCAGAAAAAAGAACATCATCCAGCTAAGAATTAGATGTTCCTTCAACAGCCTCTCTGGCAGGCTTTCCGATTAGTTAAATTCTAACATTTTTCTTTCATTTGTGATTGTCAGAGAAATTAGGAAATAGTATTCCAAATAATATTCTTCTAGCTTTTATGCCTTTTAGAAAGTAATGTGATGTTGCAGACTTCAGTGCTAGAGTTGCAACATGCATAATAAGCTTCTGGAATCTGGAATAATCTATTTATCCACAAACAGGACTGGACATAGTAAACTACCTTGTAGTGTTGCATGAAAATAAACTTAATTACTCTAACCTTTTAGTCATGGGACGTTGTAGTCCCAATTGTGTTGAATCTCTCATGATTTAGTAATTTGTCATGTAATGCAGTTGCAAACTCAGATTGAGAGCAGTAGATTATTTTAGGCCAATTCAATTAGATGGCCCCTTCAGTTCCTGTTTTCTCAAACGGTCTTAAAAATGTGCTAGTATACACGTACGTTGCAGTATCTTTTGAAAAATCAGTGCAGTCTTTCTACTTACTTGTACATAATTATAACATTCATTGCTAACAGTGAAGGGAGAAAACCTATTTGCTCTTTTGTCTGTGCTCCACAGTGCATTGACACATTCTTATTTATTTTTGAAAAGAGATATTTTTTCCTATCTAGGTAAGAAAATTGATCCGAAAAGCTCAATATCCTGTTTTCTCTGGCCAGTGTTTCAAAGAAAGACAAAAGCTTTCATTATTTTTGTTCAAAATTAAGTCATAGAATTGTTCAGCCCTTAAAACAAGGTGGGAGGAGGATTGTCACCTTTCAAGTTAATTATCTGCTTCCTCAGTCACATACATATTTGTGCCTGCTTGAAGATTATGCACAAAGTATCTTTAATGTTATGGGTTTTTACCTACTTTGAAGTTATGAGTTGACAAGTAAGACAGCAGAAAGACATTTTCTGATCAATGTCCTGTATTTCTGTTAAGTTTAAAACACAAGCGCACAACTGAAACAATAAATGCAACAGAGAGTTTGAGTCCTTTTGCAATGTAATGTTTAACAGTCTTTTTTTGCTACGGAAGAAAGGTAAGAATGCTTTAATGAACTGCTGCTGCAGACAGTTTCAGACAATGAATTCATTAGTTCGGTTGGTATGAGTTTAATTTCAAGCTGGTTTTCACAGAACAAATTTCACTTAGTTTTATTTCCTTTTAGCATCCATCGTACAAGTAGTGACGTCGTTTCACTGAATTATCTTGTTTTACTCTAATTGTTTTACAATTATTTAGTTAACGATTTCAGTATACCTTCTGTTCCTGACAGGTGAAACAATAGTAAATGAACAATGGAGGCTCATCTCTGCTTTTGGCTTTCAGAAATTATCACCAAATTTAACCTATTTGCTCATGTTAATTAATTTTGTCTTTAGGGCTCCTCCTTTTAATTATTTTAATTCTTAGTGTTCTCAGCAGGGGTTTTTTTGTTTATTTTTTTCCAGACCTTTTTACCGAGTTTTATGTAGCTTTCTTGCACTGTTCCTGGCCTTCCTCATTCTCTCCTTATTTCTTGGTTAAAATGTGATGCTATTTTGCAAAAACAACATGGCCTGCAAGCCATAAGGACCTACATGTGCTTTTGAGTATTACTGTGTAGAAGAGTTAATGTTTATAAGTTTATCCTCTTCTGAAAACTGGGAAGGTGAGGAGCAAGAAAGAAGGTAAAATAAGTATCTTTTTGGAGGAGTGCTCTGAAGGGACAGTTAAAGTATCTGGAGGGGGTATGAGTGAGTAGAAAAGGAAGAAATAAGCCAGATTCCAGATAAAAAGCCCTCTAAGTAGGGAAGGGGAGCCAAGCAACATGAAGAGATTTCCCCTTTCTTTCCCTGTTCCTGGTGCCTTGCCCCATTACACCATGTGACTGTTTATACAGAAGATCCCATTTCCAAATATTGACCTCCACATATGCACACTTCTATAAAGTACTGCACTTTTCTATAATCCTATTGTCACCAAATTTCTACCTAGCACTTCATTTGTCAGCTGCTTGTGTCTTAATTCCCTGTAAAAATATGATATGTTGCACAGGGGGAAGAGGGGTTTGAATTCTGAGAAGGAAGTATTGACTTCCTTCAGTGGCCAGGAACCAACTTTGTCCTTGCTGTCATACCACTGCTTTGTGGATTCTGCCTATTTTTTTACCTGCTTTCTGGTATACTGAGACTTCAGTTTGTCTTTTCGATGCAGTGTGTTGCTAAAGGGACACTCAACTCTCATAATACTCTTTTTGAAATGTGGAGAGAACTGAAGGACTAACACTATCTATTGAACTAGTCTGAGCTATTCCTTGTTTGATGATTACTGAAGTGCAAACAAGAGTGGAGACGAGACCTTTCCACATGTTAATTCCTCAGGGCAGAAATAGAGCTCAATTCTCCACTTGTTCCCCTGTATCTGAAGATCCTTGGTGTGTAAGCCTTCCTCTGCCTCTATGACTCTTGCTTGCAAAGCTGTCTTGATCACAGTTCACCATCCCCAATTCCTCATCTGACTCCAGCTTTTCTTCCTATCTGTTGTAACTCATTCTGTCTGCAGCTAGGTAGCAAAACATGTAAGTGAACAAGAAGATTTCTTGTCATGCTTCATCTACAGTGGTATGTAACAACTGGATTTTAGCACTTGTTTTACTTAGTTTAGTGAAGCTTAGAATATGGCAAGAAAAAACGATGATTTAAACCAACAGGGAAAAAAGTCCAAATTAGTAAAAGGTGTTTGTGAAGTTTAATCATTTTACTATGTTTTGGCTAGAAAACCCCAAAGAATTCATAATTTGTGTGTTGTGTGGGAAACTTGTGTATTGTATGGATACCGTTTAATGTCATTAAATCATTCTTCTGTTATTTAGACTGCAGTAAATTCATCATGATATGTCTGATCCCTGAAACATGCATAAATACATGCATGTGCTGCATGCGCACACATATATGCAGAGGTGGGAGATGGAGCTGCAGCGTGAGGTCTTACCTCTGCAAAGCGTCTAAGCAGAGAGCTGCTGCCTCGGCTCCTGTGAGGGAAACCAAGGAAAGAGGCAGCGCTGGTGTGGCAGAAGGTCAGGTCTAAATGAAGTTTCGATACGGTGCTGGAAGCCCAGAAGGTCCCTGTAGAAGTCATAGGACATACACACTGTCTGTGAGGAGCAAACATACAAAGCAAATGTCTGAGTGGGCTTGAGCTCTGCAGTGTTCCTGGCGTTAAGTGTACCTCTTGTCTAACAGATGCAGACAGGCAAGATTCTATCAATCTCTTTCTGGGAGTATTCAAGCCTACAGAAGGAAAACCTCATCTCTGGGAACTTCCCACTGATTTTTATTTGCATCACAAGAACACCCTCAGTCTGTCACAGACCAGGCGAAGGTACTTTGCTGTTCTGTTGTTTTGTTTTGTTTTGTTTGGTGTCGTTCTAACAAATTTTAAAAAATACATATTGTTAATCAAGTAATTTGGTCAATCTGTCAAACTTGTTTACTCTTTTTTATGTTTTTATCAAAACTTAAATAACCTTTAAGAAATTGCTGAAAATGTTGGATGTTGGTGTTTTGAAGGATTTGCTTTAGTATGTTATTTTCCTGTTGTATTGAAAAAAGGAAGTTTAATTTCATATGAAATCCTGTCCTTCAGTGTGAAATGCTTCGCTGTTTTACCAAAGTACGGTTACCACTCTCTCAGTAAGCAATATAGAGGTGATTTTGATGATCAGATTTATTAAGTGATTGTTGTATTTGAGATTGGGTGATAAGGATAACATTTGGGGGAGGTTTGTGTGTAATGCACTTAGTCAGCAGCTGTGCATACCAAGAAGCGCATGATTTTCTACCTTCCTTTCAGCCATGCCTAGCCTGTTCTGAAGACTTTTTCTTCATTTGCATTCCATTGTAGTTGCACGGTAATATACAGAAGTAATAGAGCTAAAGCATAAAAATTGTAAAGTAATTTTAGAGTGCTTCACAATGTGAAATGATTTTCTTCAGGATTATAAATACTGTGTGTTAAAAAAAATAAATAAATAAATCCATTTTAATAATAAGGACAGTAGTGGACTTGTTAACTAAATCATCTCTCTTAGGAATTTCACTGTTTGTGTCTTTGTTCGTTCTGAGTCTTAAAGCTCTGTGTCACTAATGGTAGATCTAAATACCTGCATAACATATTTTTGTTTGGGGAAAACTGCAAGTGTTTCAACAGTGCATTCAGTCCTGTTGGCTGCTTAGTCCATTAACCCCTCGTGGCAGCTTGCATGGGATATGACTGTTTCTAAATTTCAATCCTTTTGTATTGTCTCCTGAGGCTTCTATTGCTGCTCACTCATATCAGCCGTACAAACAAGTGTTATTTCAGGCACACATGAAACATGCAATGTTAATTTCATTGCCTACTGGTTCCAAACATTATTGTATGTCAAAAATTAATTCAGCTGATACATTGCAAATATATGAATGTCCTAGTCTCCCTTTCAGCTGTTACTCTGTTAAACAGCTGTCTCTTATTTGTCACAGATACTCTTCTCAAACGAGGTGGAACTTTTAAAAAAAAAGTTAGTATTCTTCATTTACTTGTTAATTAGATTACCTTTCATAGAATCATATAATAGTTTGGGTTGGAAGGGACCTCAAAGATCATCTAGTTCCACCCCCCCTGCCATGGGCAGGGACACCTCCACTAGACCAGGTTGCCCAAAGCCTCATCCAACCTGGTCTTAAACACTTCCAGGGATGGGGCCTCCACAACCTCTCTGGGCAACCTGTTCCAGTGCCTCACCACCCTCACAGGGAAGAATTTCTTTTTAACATCTAATCTAAATCTACCCTCCTTCAGCTTGAACCCATTACCCCTTGTCCTGTCACTACACTCCCTGATCTCTGGGAGTCCCTCACCATCTTTCCTGTAGGCTCCCTTCAGAAACTGATAAGCCGCAATTAGATCTCCCTGGAGCCTTCTTTTCTCCAGGCTGAACAACCCCAACTCTCTCAGCCTGTCCTCACAGGAGAGGTGCTCCAGCCCTCCGATCAGCTTCGTGGCCCTCCTCTGGACTTGCTCCAACAGAATTCTGGCCAGAATTTCTTTTGAGCACTTATAATATACACCCCAGGTGTTCGCTCATGTGAACAAAATGTAATAAGTAGTTAGGTGAAAAAAGCTCCTCCAAGTAATTTTTTGTTTCTACCAAACTAATGGACAAGTTCTTCGTGTAACTTCTTCCTGCCTCTCTGTGCAGTGCCTCTTTTGGATTCCTTGGGCACAGCAGCAAAGGAAATAATGAAAACTCATCATGAAATCAAGGATCTAGGAAGAGAAGGAAAATGTTGTTTCCTGTCACTGAAACTTCTTTTGACTGTCAGTGCTTTTTCTGTATTGTATTTGCCTCTCCATCAGAAACAAGAGAGTTCATAATGAGTTTCATATATTTTATGTAATTTGCAATTCATGTGAAAGGACAGGGAGTATGGCAAAAGGAGACTTTCTGTTGTCACGTTACTTAGCATTTATGCAAGCAGCAAAACTGGGTATGTCTGCATAGTTTCTGAAGGCACTGGAGATAATGGCTTGCTGGCATGGCCTCATCCAGTACTTCAGGAAGAGACGGGACTGTCAGGCCCAACTCATTCCTGTCTGTCTGAGACATACACAGTTCTTGGAATTGAAGCGTGTTGCCCTGCTTGCTCCGCACTGTTTGCGAAGTCCCACTAACATGTCTGTCTCTGGGCATGGGAATGCACCCATTGCTTCACCTCCAGATGGCTGTGTTGACATGAGTAGGAAGTAACCCCATTAATACTCCGATTACAGCCTTCACAGTATTGTGAATCTACACATATTTAAAATAAAAGTCAATGAAGATTACTGTCTTTTCATCCCAAGTAATGAAATAGAAGAAACTATGAGAGTAATTTAGAGAAGAAATTACTGTGCATTTGAGAAGAGAAAATAAAAATATTTAAAAATGAATGAAAGATAAAACATGCTTTATTTTATGAATGTAGCTTGACTTTTGTTGTTTTTCAGAAATCCTGAATAAACTTCCAGCAGGGCTTAGTTTTGCTATTAGCTATGCCAGCATAGGGGAACTGTCACATCAAAATGTATTTCTGTGTATGGAAGTCAGCTGCTTTGACAGACTTTCGATTTTATTATCATTGACCTTCATTTCTTCGTACCCTTTTCCTAAATTTTAGGATGTGAATAACAAGTGGTGGGTGGGGGTTGATGCTTTATTTTAAAGACCAGAACAAGAGACATACATAAGTACCTTCTATGTGTACTAAGACCTTAATTTTCAGTACTGTAGAGGTAGGCACCTGAAATGTATTTTGTTTAATGGAAGAAACCCACTCCTCCCTCCGGACCTGTACTGAGCTTCATGTGTTTAAGTTCCATGGCCTGAGAGCAAAGTAGTAGGACAGGGGCCTGTTGAAATCCTCCATCCAAGGATAATTTTTTTCTTTCTTCCACGCTTGAATTATAAAGGAATGTTTACTAAAGTGATGCTGTGTGATTGGGTAACTGTTATGTGCAAACGCTTAGACTGGATACAGGCTCAAATGTTCTGTTTTAATTGTGCATCTGTTTTTCCTGTACAGCTATACTTACTGGTGGACCACAGGTGTGCTGAAGCATTTACCTCTTCCTTTTGATGAAGGTAGGAACTATATTTGCTCCTTGTCTTATAGAGTACCTCAAAAAAGAAATTTTAGTCAAAGAAGTTCTTTAACTGTTTTAGATCCCAAATCTGAAAAAAAAAAAAGTTTCCATAACGATTGCCAAATATATTTTTTTTCCCCCACAATGAGCTATGATTTTTCACCTGCAGGATGTGAGAGATACCTAATAGGCTAAAACTTGACCTCCATATGTTTATGTGCCAGGGCATGCTTCTTTTTTTTTTTAAATTTTTTTTCTTTCCCCTTACCTATTAACACGTATTTATAGTCTATGTTGGTGGTTACATTCCTGTTACAGATGACAGGGTATAGCTAGCCTATCTTATTTCTCTGGGATACTGTGGAGCATGTGTTATTAGGAATTGTCATCATGAAGGGAAATGAAATTATGTTGGTTGATAATGCATGTTTATTAAAGATGTGCTGTGCATCATCATCTTCATATCATATTTTCTTGTCTTAGAGGGGAAATAGCTGTAGAAAAATGCCTGGTAGGGTGGCTAGGTAAGCAGGTTACTCTTTGTTTAGATTTTTTGCAGAGTCAATGATTGTTAGTAAAAAGATTTTTTTTTTTTCTTTTCCCCAGTGACATGCGCTGAAAACAGACGTAAGTTGACAGTGAAGAAATTCCACAAGTATGAAGAGGAAATTGATATCCACAATGAGTTTTTTCGGCCGTATGAGTTGAGCAGTTTTGATGAGACCTTCTGCTTGGCAATGACCAATTCTACACGGTATATTGGGATGTTTTGTGACTATGAATCCTTAACTGGAAGTTGATTTGCTGTCAGTTAGATGTACATTTTATTTACTAGGTTAAATTTGTGTAACATGATAGGTTTTGTGGAGTGTTGGTTGTTTTTTTTAAGCTTCAAAATAAACAAACTTCTAGAAACCAAATCACAATACTAAAATGGAAATGCTACTCTAAAAAAAGTCTTTTAAGATAGCACTTAAATTTCCAATTATTTTTCATTATGGGGTGCTGAATGTTTGAACACTTGAAGGCTGAGCAATGAGCTTTTCTCTGTGGACTCAGATCACAGAGGCTACCTTCAAAGCAATTGTTTTATAATTGTTCTGCTCTCATTTTACAATTGTTTTCTTCAGTTCATCAGCTTCACACACCTGGGCAGATAATGTTTTGGGTTTACTTTGTGGTTTGTTTTTTTCTTTTTTTTGTTCTTGTGTATTGGCAGCAATCAGCTGGATATTCTAAGCATAATCTGAATCATGTTTTAGCTAAAGAATTCCAGGCAGATTATGTTTCATGTAGCTTTTGGACCTAATTTGAGTGTTGGCAGCATTTTGAAAACAACATAGTTGTGTTACAGGGCTTCTTCAGCCCAGGAATGGAGCACATTGCTCCAGCCTCCTTGGCAAGTGGTAATGTTTGCAGCTATTTATGGGACTGAATAATGCAATTGAAAGCTTTTTAAATACCTAAGGGGGTTATATTTACGTTAACTAGTGATGATGAATTTAGAACTTGATATTTCTTTTTATAATGATTTTTTTTTAATTCAAAGGTAGATGTTAGAGGTGATTCTTCCAGAAAATTTAAAAAAAAATGTGTTGAACTTTGCTCATAAACAATTTTTCCTTTCTATTTTGCCAGAGATTTTATGCCTAAGAATGTGGGGATTGATCCAAGTCCATTTACTGTTCGTAAACCTGATGAAACTGGAAAATCAGTGTTGGGGTAAGTCTGAAATATGAAATTTTGTTCTGGTTTCATAGTAGTGAAATTGTAATGCAAATGTATAAACTCTATGTGTGTGTCTGTGTATCATATTGTTTGTTACATAGGAAATAAAAAAAAATCATTGGTGTTATACTGTAGAATTGTACACTTTGAAAATCATATCTCATTTGAGATTTTTATTTGACACTGGGAGTTCTTTATTCAGACTTGTTTAATCTTTGCTGTTTTCTTGTACTCCTCTAAGTGAAACCCATGAGAAAATTTTATCAAGAATAAAGATACAGAGGTTGTTAAAAGTTTGATCATCTCTTCATACTAGTGGCAACTGTATTCCCTATTGGAGATGACAGGAATGCAAATATTGTTGTCTTTAAAAAAATAATAATACATTTTGAATAAATAGAACATATCCTGAAATAGCAATAAATACCAGTTTCAGCATAGTTTTTGATAAAAAATGTTATTAAAAATATCTATAGATAAAATTACATAAATAATTCAGAAACAGTTATTGGGATAAATGAACGTTTCATTTAGCTGCTTTTGCATCCTGAACTTGCTTTGTTACTTTATTTATTCCTTTGTTGTGTTTGATCTGCTGTATCACACAAGGGCTATGGGGACTGTTCCTCTACCAATTCATTCTCTCTTTAATACCTCATATTAAGGAAACCTTTTGTCAGTAATGACTAAACCTGTGCTGTCACAACATTGTAAGTTCTTCTGAAAACTTGCTGTTCTCTTAAAAGCTACAAAATTGAACTGTCTTATTATAACATCCATTGTGACTTGACCCTGAGGGACTCACTGTCAATAAGTGTTGAGAGTACACTATGCTTTATCACTAGCAGAACCTGATTTCATGCTATTGATGTTCCCTGGGAATAAGCAGAAAGACTATTCAACAGTTACACAGTTTACCTCTGCTAAGAATTGTGAGTTTATGGGTACTTTTGAGGATAAGCTTTATTCTTCCACTTTGGTATAATGTCAGATTTTGGACTAATTAATTTCTCTCCAGATACTCCATTAAATACTTGACCCTTATATGTTTTTCTCAGACACTTTGCTTCAAGCTCCCCACTGTGATTTTTAGGGATTGTTATGAGAGTCAGCTGGATCAAAGCCACATTCCAGGACTCCATGGGTATTGCTCGTAAGGCTTCCCATGTACACATTGGCTGTGTAGTGGGGTAAAAGGTGGCTTCAATCTTCCACCTTACCCATATTTAGCCCTCGGTAGAGGTGCTGTCTTTGCCTTGCCCATTTGTCATCATCTTTTGATCTACTATGACATTTTTGGAAGATTTGGTGATCTGTTTTCATCTGTAAGTGTTCTGGTCCCCTAGGACAATTAGATCTTGGCTGCCTTCTGAGTATGTGTTGAGAGTGGGGATGTCAGTCTTATCAGTGTTTGGCTACTTGCTCTACACTTCAGCTTTCAGAAAGGACTGCTTTTCTTGTGACCGTCACGTCATTTAGAAAAGTAGGGAAGATAAACTTAATTTTCTCTAAAAAGAATGCAGTATGTCTTCATAACTTTCTGTAAATTTCAATCTAAGGAGATGGCAGTTTCTGCTGAGTCAGAAATTAAACTTACTTGTGTTGGGTTTTCCCCTAAGGCATTTGTTCCAGCTGGAAGAATTCTTCTGATATATTAATGTCCTGGGGATGGGGAATGTGTGCAGATAAAGAACTTTTGGGAGGACTGTTTCTACTTGTTTGTCTTGTGCTCCTAAAGCATATGAAGTTTAGCTAATTCACTACAGGGATAAACTGATGTATGTGACTGCAAAGGCAGAACACTTCGTGACAGTCATGGTGTGCTCCACTAGAGCTCAAGCAATACTGGTGACCTCCACTCCTTTGAGGAGAACAGTAGAGCTGCAACTCAAAATAACATTTGCACCAAACTGCATGCTGTTGTCAAAGCCTCTGAGCATGCTGCTGTCTTCCTTTAGGGCCTTCGACAGAGTAATTCACGCACGATGTCAGTGTATATAGGGACAGTCACCTCAGCAAGGAGGTGATGTTGCTTCCCTGTTTCCAGACTGATTTGTCTACAAACATATTAATTACCTGCCTTCCAGTCCTTCTTCCTCCAGAGTCCCCGAAAGATTGTGGCGGTGTCTGTGAGGAAAGTGCAGCCATGTACCCTTCTGCAGCCAGTAGGAAAGGATGTAGAGAACATAAGGGTGGTATAATTTCTGATGGGTAAAGTAACGTATACCTTTCAGAGCTTGTACAGTTAAACCCAGTGTTAGCCTACTAAAATCTAGATGCTGTATCTTGAAGAATTCTGATAAATAAGGCACCTCTTTATATTGATTAGAAATTCTAGAGTGAGAAATATGTGCTGCATAAAGAAATGCTGCTGATTAAAGAACTAAACTGAGGTGACAGGTATGGAAAAGGAAGGGAAAAAAGTGTGATGTTATGATTAAGATTTTTGGGCCCAAGATTAAGAAAGCTAGTGGAGCAGACAATGTTAATCAGAAAGTGAAATTTTTTCCCAGATGAAACCCAAAAGATGTTATGTCTCAATGTTTATTCCTTTTTATTCATTCAGTCTGGGGGAGGGAGTTAAGTAAAAAAATCAGAGAATTGGTGGAGAAAAGCTGACGTCGTCCTTTGAGCTGTCTTTAAATGCTCTGGAATAAGAAGAGATGGAAGAAAAGTAAATCAGTTGGGGGATTCAAAAGATGAGCAACAAATTGCTCCAGAGGATAGAACTCATTTCCCCCAATAAGATTGTAACCAAAATGAGGAATTTAAAATGCTTGTTGCTAATGTCTTGCTGATTTCATAAATGCACACTACCTTTCATAATAGGAACAAAAGTAATAGAGAAGAAACCGTGCTGCAGCGCAAAACAGCTGCTAGTGCTCCTCCACCTCCAAGTGAGGAAGCAGTGTCAAGTAGTTCTGAAGATGATTCTGGGACAGACAAAGAAGATGAAGGTGCTGTTTCTCAACGTTCAACTCCAGTAAAGGTGACTGATACAGGAGACAATACCAAAATGACAGAGGTAAGAAATTATTGTGGCAGGCAAGAAGGCTAATCATGGACTTAAAATTCACATTTCCTTAAAAAAAACCCAAACAAACCAGTAAATGTTATAGAACAGTCAGAAGTAAAGCACTGAGAAATTAAGTGAAAAAGTCTCCTGTGTAATTCCTTTGTGTAGATATTAGTACAACTGCTTATAAAACTGCTATTATTCTTGTCTTATAATAGTGAAACACTATTTTGAAAATAACATTTTTTCAGAAAATGAAAAGTGCTGTTAGAAACCTATGGCATTTGAAAGGTACTCTTGTCGTGTTGCCCATTGTATAAAGCATAAAATACATGTATGTTAGTGTTAGTTCAGAGCAGTAGTGCTCTTCTGATCGTTGTCTCTTACCATGCTCTGGCTCATGTCACGTGGTGGTCTTGGAGTATGCAAATGGGGTTCCTTTTTGGATGAAACTAAACTGGAAGATGCTTCTTCGGGAATGTACCTGATCTACCTACCTAATCAACTTTTAGTCCATGGGAGCTAATCTGGAGCAAACCCCCTGGAAGACATGTAGTATGGATCTGAGGTCCTGAGCACTACCTCTTTCAATGACAAATTATTCATTTTGAATGATGCCACCTGCCTAGGTGGATATAACTGTAAATTAATGTTCAATCTGGCTAAAGTTCAACCTGATTTATGTGAAGATTTTTGAATTGCTATTTCATAATTGTTTGGTATGACATTTTAAAAAAAAAAGAAACTAACTTCAAAAACATGCATGATAAAGTTGTCACATTGGTCCTATGCTACTGCTACTACTAAGGTTGAAGATAATGGCAGGATAATAGTAAAATCATATCTGCACAGTCATATGAAAACGCATATTCTCAATTGTGGGATTAATCTTTTTTTGCTAGCATAACTCCAATTCTGTTGGAATCTCTTGGATGCCAATTTAATGAAAATATTAATTTGTATGATTACGGAAATATCTATTTTATTAATTCATGTTAACATTTCTTCAAATTCTTTCTTGTAGATATCCATTTTGGGTAGTACTGAAAATGTCTTAGCAAAAGGATACGCTAATGGAGACTATAAAAATTTGGAAGATACTTATGTTGTTTTGGGGGGAGGGGGTTGGCATTTGTTGGGGGGGGTTGTTTTGTGTGTTGGTTTTTTTTTTAGTCACAGCTAATTTAAATGGTTATAGTGTTGTGCTTGCACACGTTACCACTTTTGAAGAAACTTCAGTATTTATGACCTTAGTCAGTATAAAATATAGTGCCTGATAGGCAACGGAGAATAAAGCAGCCTTTTTTTTTCTGCTGTAATTCAAATTTTCATTTAATTCAGTCCTTAGCCTAGGGGTGTGGTTTCTCAGATAATGGATTTTCAGCCTTCTGTACAACACTTTCTTCTTCCTAACCTTAATGGCATTTTCAATAAAATAACTCTGAATTCATGTGGTATTCACTTTGGACAATTTGGATTAATTTTTATGGCAATACAAATGCATTTATTTATGTTTATGCAAGATATTTTACCTGGTAATTTTCCATTATCTCTGAATAAGAGTACCTGTTTTCCAGCACGTCAGAGTGTTTCTAGATGTTTGTTTTTAACAACATAAATCCAACCTGAAATTTTATTCTTGATTCTTACCATTGCACAAGTTACCTCATTTCAGTTTTGCCATTTGTGGATTGAACACACTTCAAGACTCAGACCTAAGATATCTTTTTTTTTAGATTTTTAAGATGCTTAAATGAAAGATGCATGTAAACACAACATGTGATTTAAGATAATATTGAATTTTAATGGCTTACAATTGGGTGAGCTGTTCTGATTCTTTTAGTAATGCACATGAAGAAATATTTTCCATTTTATTAGCACCTTTTCATGCATAGAATTTTAGTTATAACTTGCGTTGTTAATTTGTGTCATTGCTTATTAAAGTTGCAGTGCTGAAAAGGATTACCTATTCAGTTATGCTGAATTGCTGTGTTAGCCATTAACTTGTGTTATCGTTAATGTCTGCCTGCCATTGTAAATTTGTTTATTCTCCTCAAAAGTACAAAGTTGCTCTTAGGTACTATGTTTGAGGGCACAACGTTTATGGAAACTTTCTTTTCAGAAACCAAACATAAAGGTAATCTTAACAACTGCATTAGACATTAGATTTTAATATGTTCACCAGCTGATCTTCATTTAGCTTGCAAAGTGTTGTTTTTCCATTACCAGGCTAGGCAGAGCATCAGATACAGGCTTTTCGAAAAATGTTTTGGACTTATTTTTCTGGCAATGGCAATTATATGTTGCATCTACACATGTAGCTAAAAAGTTTAAAAAGACCTGTAAGGAGGGTTTCAAAACTTGGTGGCTAAACTGAATAATGTAACAAGAAACAAAGCAACTATGACTAGAAAAGATGATAATCTATCTAGTTGATTAAATAAGTGTTTATTTTCTAGAACTGGTAAACCATAGAAATGTTTCAGATATTTATTCTTTTTTTCCTCAAGTTAAGTTAAAAAAGAAACTTTAATGAAGAATGCACTTAAAAGCCTACACTTACAAATATTCCATTTTATGTCTCTGTTAGCTGAACTGACAACTTCCCAGCACTCTCACCAGGGGCAGTCTGCACTTTACGGTTTTCTCATTTGTGACAATGGATTGTGTATTGCATTGTACAAAAATACTAAAAGTTTGGGTGAAAAACAGTAGTGTGGGCTATTTTTGGGTGTAAAATAGTTGATATTTGTAAGCTTATATTTTTAGGTGCATTCTTGAGTAAATATGGTTATTCCAGAAAGATTGGATGTTTGGTCAGGGATTTGGATTTTAGTGGGTTTTGCATCAGCAACTGCAGAGTAGAGAAAAATTGTATCATTACACAGGCAGCGGGGAGGACATGACCCAAACAGCTAGTTCCTTTCTATTTATATCTCACACAAGTTGATAATCAAATGCTTTTATACCTCTGGTCAGAACATATTTTTCCTAAATTGTTCTTTGACTTTGGATCATTTTGAACTAAAAGAAAGCTTTTTTTGTAGTTGACTTACTTGCAGTCACACATCTTGTCAGTAAACCCCTCAGTTAGTGAAGTATTGCATATGCATTGAATCCTTGTTACAGTTGAGTGACATGATTATGTAATGTATAAAATAAAAATATCGTTCAACCTGAAATTTGTAATTATTTCAGAATTGACAGCAGGAAGTGTGAAAGCAAATGTGGGAGCATGTTCTGAACAAATATGATTTATTCTGTACTGAGTTTCAATGCAGAACAGAATATAATACCTACATCATTATATGTCCTATAAATATAATTTATTCTCCTAATATGTTGTTTTATCTGATGTTATCTTTCAAGAATCCTTTCCTTTACTTGTTGAACAAATATCTTGAATGCTATTTTTAATAAAATATTTTTATTTAAAAAAACCAGACACGCACAAGCTAAGATTACTATGTATATGAGAAACTTGTTTGGTTTTGCCTGCACTTTTGAAATTATTTTCAGGTTTAGAAAGCATTCCTTGTTTGAAAGTAAACTTCTCTTTGGATGTTGTTATGGTATCCTCAGTCTGAATCTTTCTTCTTATGTTCCAGAATGTAGTGCAATCAACAAAAGATGTGTATGGAGTCAATCTTTCAGATGTTCCTTCAGAGGATGATCTCACAATATACGCTAGGTGAGATAAATTTCTGGTGGTAATCAGTAAAAAATAATGGAAATTGGTTAAATACAGCTTGTCAAAGTGCTGCCTTTGATTAAACTTATTTAAATTATAAATTGTAGAGAGATCTATGTGTGTATATATATCATTCTAGTTTTAAAATCAAACTGTAGTCGGATGTCTGTGTCAACTCTGATTTCACTGGAAGTTGTGCAGATGTCTCCGAATGCAAAATTTGGAACTTAAATTGAATGAAAGATGATTCAATAGAAATACCTGTCATTTAATATAGTCCTAGAAATTAATAAGCAAATTCCATATTAGGAGAGGTTCCCTGGTTCTAAGATTTGTAGTCTGTGATTTTTGCATTTTTCAAATGTTGAATTACACTAATTCAAATCAGTCACAAGTAAAATAGCCTCTTCTATAAAAATGCATACAAAACAACAGAAGTTGAGTCTTTTTTTCACATAATGTCTTATTCATAGAGATATGTGTTAACTGTTGCCTTTTACTCAGATTTAAATAGTTGTGTGACTTTTAGTGTTCAAGGAAAACTACTTTTCTGAATAATATTCATGCTTTTTCTTAAAACATCTTGGCCTTTTGAGCTTGAAATAAAATATTGTGGGTTTTACAGGGAGACCTTGAGACCGTTACTAAATCTGGTATAGACTATGAGGAGAAAAGAGGTCAGAATAACTCACAGTATAGAAGCATGGATATCTAAGTGACAGAGATTTGTACTGTAAGTTTCAGGAGAGGGAGAAGTCAGTTTAGCCCTTGCCATTATTGGAGTTTCATGAAATAACGACATGTGGAATTTCATGAAATAATGACATGCAAATACATGTGGTGTGTGGGTTTACCTGTCTGTGTATCTATGCACAGCACTAAGCGTAGTGTGTGTAATAATGTGCTCTTACACACTGTGTTTTGAACAGCATCATACTGCCACTTGTTCTTAATAAATGGTTTTGTGAATTCAAACCATACACACAGGAAATGAGTAAGATACGGCATAGTGCAAGACAAAATACAGCTCCTTAGGTGGTCCAGCAAGTTCCCACTCTGTTTCTCCACATTGAGGTAAACTCTTACAACGTGAGGCAGCGTGCTGCACGGCACCTGCAGGCTCTCCTCAGGAGCTGGGAGCTGCTGGCTTACTGTGAGCAGTTGGAGGTCAAAGTTAGTGGGCGAGCATCAGGGTACCACCTCCCAGCTCCAACTACACAAAAACTTCTGCTTTTATTCAAGGGTAACTTGGAATTTCATCCTTTACAAGACAGATTGTCATCACTCCCGCAGGAGCCATGAACTGTTAGGTCCCCAGGAGCAATCAGCAAAGTAATGGCATGCTTCTCCAACAAAAGGCAGTGACTCCCATTGCGTCAGGAATGCTGTTTCTGACTTGCCGTCACCCCAGATAGAGTGCTGGCTATGCATTTCCATTGTTAAAAAAATGTGTAATTGTTCTCAGATTCTCTCCTCAATATGACAGAATAACACTGAAGCCAAAAAGGAACTGGTTCAAATCTCCTTTTTTTCTTAAATCAGAAATTAATTTGAACCATTTGAAATTTTTTTAACTCAAACCAAAACTGAACTGGAATAATTCAGTTATAGATGAACTAGAACTGAACCGAGAAGTTACTTATTCTGCTCCCTGATGGAGGAGATTTTTTCCTGAACTGCACTCTTTTTCTTTGAAAACTAGTCACAATAATGGGAATTCAGTACTGGAGATCAGTTGAAAAAATTGAGGTCCAGATTGAAGTCCCTCTTAGTTCCTAAAGGCTTATAATGCTGTTGCCGAGAGTGATTGCTTATGCAGGACACCAGGAGTGCAAATCAATTACATTTCCTTAATAAACATGCTGAGCGATTTGAAGATAGTACACTTGTATAGGGTGGAGGAGGACATTTCTCATTATCTCTGCAATTTTTAACTTCACCCATACCTCTAACTTTGATTCTTTATTTTAAACGCTGGAAGATAGATGCCAATTTGACAATTAGCCTTTGGTGTACCGGATAGTTATTGTTCTGCCAATAGCCCAGTGTGAGCTGGTGTCTACTAAAAGTCACTTTGTCAGATGAACAGCTCTATGAAAACATCCAGAATTGCAGCTACTTCCCATTTTATCATTTTTTAGGCTGGACTAACATTCAGCCTGTTGTTACAATAGTGCTGTAAACTCCATGGGGGCTTTGACGCTTCCCATTCATATCCTTTTCAAGACAAAAAAAGCTTGTGTTTATTTCATTTCCCTCAAGCAATGGAGGTTTTAAAAAATCTAACAATTGCAATTTCCTTACCTCTTTTAGCTAACAAGACATAGTGCTATTTATGGTCTGATGTGCTGATTTATGTGGAAAGTATAGATTTTACTGACATCCTTTATTACAATGTACATTGTTTGAGAATAGCAGCAATTTATTTCACAGTGTGATTATGGCTGTCACTTCAAGTCTCTTTCTATTATTGTAATAAGGGGAATGGAGATGGAAGATCCCAACTCTACTTGACATCATTGAACATGTTACCTGTTTTTTTCTTTATCAGCATCAGGGACTCGCAGATTTAAAGTATCTCAGGTTAAGTTACTTTATGTAAGCTGATCTATATTAAGTATATATGCAAATGCAAATGAAACTTATTTGAATCTGTTCAGCCCGTTTTCACTGATGACCGAGATCATTTGTGTTCATTCTCATCAAAGCAGAAGTCACAGAACCACAGATTGTTGAGTTTGGAAGGGACGGGAGGCCCCTCAAATAATTTGAGGATGTACACTGCAAATCAACTGTGCATGGTGTCTTATTGCTGTCTGGTAACTTGCTTGTGTTAATTTAGGCCTTGTTTGTTTCAGAATATTGGATAATTTGAACCAATTAATAAAAATATTTACACCTTCAGTTTGTTTTTATTTGCTTTTCAAAGCTTGTTTTAAAAGCAAGCTCCTGCACTAGCAGATCTTAATTATCTTTATTTCCACTTACAGTTCTCTTATTTTGAAATGTAAGTATTTATTCTTTTAACATCCAAAGTGATGTTGCGTGTTTCTGAGGCTTTTGTTTCTACAGTATAGAATCTGGAGCAGAAAGAAAAGTCACGATAAGCTGTTCAGGAATGTATTGTTCCTTTGTCTACTGTACGTGCAATTCCATGCAATTGCTTTTGCACTGTTATTTGACCCCATTAAAATGTAGTAAATATTTCTGAAATAGACCAATAAGACTATTTTTAAGCTAAATGGAAGGTAACTATCAAAAAACCCCTTCCAAGTCAGAAAATTAAAGTGTTAACATCACACCTAACATCTCCTTCCATTTTCAGTAGCACAGATGTGTTGGAGAGTAAACAAGTGTGAGATAATTACATATACTTGAAACCTTCTGACTTTTCAAGTGAATAAGATTAGTGATTAACTATTTCGTCAAATTTTGCTCCAATTCATTGCCAAGAAAAAAGCCATAACAGTATTTTGCATCTTCAGTGCCTTCCAGCAAATATTTGGAAATTGGGTAATTCTCCCAAAACATCGTGCTTGGAAAAAAGTAAGCTGGACTGACAGTGTTTCAGCTGAATAAACTAGATTGAATTTGGCTGAGGACTGACTTAAATCTGAAACTCTGTCTCTCCTGTTGACTTTTCCCATAGGCTATTCATCTGATTGCTTTGAAAAAGACATAGGGAGCTGACAGTGGCGAGCTGCCTATCTCATAGGAGCAGAGGCCTGTTCCTATCCCATGACATACCAGGGGACACCAGTTAATAGTCAAACCTTTTTCAAGCTGAAGGAAGCTGCTGAGTTCTCACATGCACCCCTGCAAGGTTTTAAAAATCTCTCTTGTTCACCAGAGAGGTCGTTCATGATCAGTGACTTATATAACACTTTTTCTTCTTCTTTTTTTTTTTTTTTTTTTTTTTTTGGTGTAATTGTCTTTCATTTGCTGAGTTTTGGGGGATAGTTCTTTTACTTTCTTTGATTTATTCTCCCATCTACTCCTTTTCCCAGGTTTGTTCAGCTGGGACAGAGTCAGCATAAACAAGACAAGAGCAGCCAGCTATTTTGCTCAAAACACCACTTGGATAGGGTTATAAATTTGTAAGTACCCTTTTTCTTTTTCCCTTTAGCCTATTTGTTTTTGCTTTTTGTCATTAGACCTGAAAAATTATTGGGTAAATTTGCTGTTAAATTGTATGAGAGTCATACTTCTGTTGCTTTTACTGCATAAGGGGATTCAATACATAGCATGAAGAATTAGGTTCCTACTTCTCCCTTGTAACTTAAAAAAAATTGCATTACTTTTTGTGGTTTGTTTTTTGGTTGGGTTTTTTTGATGTTGGGTGTTCTGTGTGTGTTTTTGTGGAGTGTTTTTTCTGTAGTGCCAAGATTTTTGTATTCAAAATTCTTAGCAATCGTGAGTTCTCACAGCTACTGAGTTTAAAAGGGAATTTGTTCTTGCTGTGATTGCTTTTGAAAGAGATAGTTTGAAAGGGATTGGTTGGCCTGCATATTTGTTGTTAAAAAAAAAAACACTCAAAGTTGCAACTCAGTCTTTAGTGTGCAGTGACCTGAATTTATTTGTTCTGAGAAGGCTATGAGTGCCCTGTATTAGTGGACATTTGAGGAGTCTTGAGAGGTCAGATAGGATATTTTTATATATTTATTTTTCTGGTGAGTGGGCAAGTGGTGGAGGGAGTAGGGTAAAGTAGAACTGATTCCTGCTTTGGTTTGTGTACTCAATGCCCATCTGTGTCACTGAAGTCAGAGGATCTATATTACCTTTAATTGGTATACAGAGTGTTTTAACTGAAGAAAAGAGCATCTTGAATCTTGCATAGATGTTATTATAACAGTCTGCTAGGTTTTCCTCAGAAGTATCTGAGGAAAGTATCTATCTCCTTAGGCTTTGGTTGTCTGCTCTTTGTTACATACTGGTTCTATGCATTTTATCAGTGATACTTTCAGCTGATGAGGAAATTTTTTTGAACATTTCATTTGTTACAACAGATACATTTTGCATCTTGTTCCAAACAGGTAAGTAGTTGATGGTAGGTTGTAAGGGAAGATCAAGCTCTGAGTGCTTTTTGTCAATGAAACACTCGAATACTTGAATCTCAAAAGATTATTATGGGAGCCATATTCAACAAAGCCATTTGTGGTGGGATGGTAGGAGGATTGCTCTCTAGGGATATCTGCCATGTGGAGTAACTTCTATTGCAAATAGAGTGACTTTCCATTACTATGAAAATATTATGAAAAATAACTTTAACATTAAAAATACAATATGTCCACGTTTAATTTATACTGAAATAAGAAATTTAACTGTTTATGATTATGAATTGATTATTGCTGTACAAGAATGGCCTCTAGTGATAGGCCAGATCGTTTGAATCTTTTCTTAGTACTAGTATAAAAAGGAGTCATGATATTATCCAAATTATTGAAGCAGGTCTTGGAGTATAGATGATCAACTCCCAACTCCCCAGCTGACACCTTCCTGGTACTGTAGGGAGCTTAAAGTTTCACCAAGGCAAGTTTTCATTTACTTTTGTCTCTGGGGGACACAATCTCTTACCCAACAGCACGGCCACTCCATAGAACTGCAGACCTTTACTGCAATCCGTTGATTTACAGAAGCCTCAGCTTTGTATCCTGCACTGGCTCTAGTCCATTCCCTCTGTGCTGGTGAAGTGAGGGAACCTCGAACATAGCACTTACCCAAGTAGGACACTGGAGGGTGTCTCAGTGGGGCTGAGGGAGCAGGATAATATGAAACAGGTTTATCTTTGTGTATGAGATAATACTGCCTAATATCAGTGCTCAGTCATTTGGTATTACATACATTTAAAGTGATGATACCACCGTGCATGGTTCATCGTTCATAAGCTTACACTTTGTAGGTGAATGCAGTTTTATAATAAAATATATCTGATGGGTATTAAAATAGTAACTTAGATTGCAAACTGTATGACTGTTTTGAAAAATGAAGGAACAACGCTGAATGTTTTGAAGGGAAATTATTATTAAGAAATTATTTTATAATAATAGGAATATTTTGTTCTATAGCGAAGGCAATTCCTTTTGTGTAATTGCAAAATCTCCTAGCATGTTTGACAGTGTAGGAGATAATAATTCCTTTCTTGCCCCCTTAAAGTAGACTAAATTATTCCCCATGCTATGCTGCTGTAAAATGAACACGTTAAAGAGTCTATAGACATAATTCTGGTGGGTTTTGGGTAGTCAGATGTTCATTTTTCTCCTTTCCCAAGTGTAATTTCCATGTGTTTCCAATTAGCAGAAGTGTAAAAGTCACAGAGCACACAAATCTGTCTCCTGTCGCTCCTCTTGAAGCCATGTAGATCATCTTTCTCTGACAGTTCTACCAAACACACTCTTCTGTGCAGACATGAGAGGAAACAGTTTAGTCAGTAATTTTTTTTTCCTGAAAGTATATCTTTATCCAGCTTTAAAATTTTCCTCAACTTTTGTTCAGCAACTTTTTAAAAATGTTTAAGTACTGTTTGGACAGTGACAAATTGTTCTTTCAAAAGTCATAAATGTAGCCATTCTTTAAAGGCATGTTGTTCAATTCTGAAACAAGGAAGCTTTCTCTTACAGGGTTTGAATTGCTTCTCTGAATCAGGAATTTCCTCAGAGAATAGCAACTTTTTAGAAATAAAATAGCATGAATGTACCATATTCAAGATTAAATCAAGAGAGAGGGTTTTCAGTAATAGCAGCTGAGGCACATCTTGCACTTGTTGGACTCTCTATTTCCTTGTTTCTCAAGGAGCACTTGAAGCAATTGAAAAATTATGGTAACTTATATTAATTTGATGTTAGGTGCATTTTAAATTAAAAAAAAATCTGGCAAATTTGATTCTCCACTAGTTCCTTCTAGATACACATACAATCAAACCCCAGTCCTTTTCAGAGTAAAATGAAGTACTCAGTCTAAAACTTTGGTTCTCATCAGCAGTGAGATATAATTTAGGCTTAGGTTAGTTGCTGTCATCTCCACACTTTTCAAGAAAATCTTTTTTTTTTAATATCCTTTTTCAATCTTAAAAACAACCTCACAACCTTAAACCTTGTGGCCATTTTAATCAAATACATAAAGCCAATACAAAAAGAAATATTTCTTATTTTTACAGTGTCACTTCAGTGATGTTTATGAACTCGAATATACATTGTAGAAATACTGAAGCAAAGCTTCGGGCTTAAATTTAGAAACTAAGTATAGATTAGAAGCAAAAAACAGATACTTGAACAGGGACTACAGTGATGCAGTGAAATAATACTGAAGAGGAGTGGAGAATCTGGAAGGATATTGAAGTTCCTCTTTTTGTTCATAGGAATTCCACGAAGGAGAAAAGGGTAGAATTTTAGTTAGAGCTAAACAGAGCTGGACTACTTTTAGCACAATCTATTATCATGTATGTGAAGAGAGACTTGCAAGTATTGTAGCGTAATTACTCTTGGCTGTCGCAGTGCACCTGTTCCTAATTCCTTAGTACTCATGGTGTGGTATAAATAATACCGTAGAAAAATACACTCTCAATCACTTTCAAAATGTACTTCTTACATCTAGGAATATGAGAAATGGGATTCCCTCCCGAACAGGGAATTGAGTGTTTTGATTGACTGCAGCACTTCTGGAGGAGAGTGCTGTGCCTGTGCCCGTTGTGTCCTACGCAATATGGCAACAACGCTGGTGCGCCAGCTTTAATTCATCTGTAGGTGTCTACTCTCCTGTTTGGTTTTGTGGGGCACTGAGGATGCTCAAGCAGAACGCTTCAGTGGGTGATATCAGCAGCATGGTCCAGGGCTATGTTCTCCTTAAATACTTGAAAAACATACCCTGTCTTCAGGGGTATATCATATAGTCCCGGTTTTGAAAAGTTCCCTTGACATTAAATGTTTAATTTTTAAATTTTTTTATTTTTTAAACCAAAACTACCTAATTCTGCTTGTCATCTAAGTATTGATCAAACATGACTCAAATTGCATAGCAACTAACTAACTACAAGTTAGCAGCTAACTATGTACAAGTAGTATATGGACCTTTTCACTGTTTGTTTCTGTGTATATGCACATTATATACATTATTTTCTCACTGAGATAAAAGTAATGAAGCAAATTTCAGTGAACAATGGAGCACTCTGTATTTTCCATTTTTGTTAATTAAATGCTCTACTGGAGTATTTTTAATCTACAATACCACTTTAAATTATAAAATTAAAAATAGAGCAGTACATTTTCTAATTTTAATGAAGTTTTTTACAACCCTAGTTACTTTTGGAAGCTGTTAGCTCAGTTTAGAGCAATTCTCTTGTTCATTCTGTACTTCCATATGACTTTGTTAGTATAAGGCCCATTTTTTGGAGGAGTAGATAAAAATAGCTTTGTATTTGTAAACATGGTATTATCACTGCTTTATAACTGTACTAAAGAAAAGGTTGGTATTGAACTTGTTATCTTCCTGTGTATTCACATCCAGGGAGTTCTTGGGGGTTCCTTATGTGGAAAGGCAGAAGTAAATGAATAAAGGATATTTAGAGTGTTAAGTATATTTATTTTTTACATTAAACCCATGCAAAATATCTAAATAGTTTCTTGACACTGCTGTGGAAACAGTGAATCAAAAGGTGTTCACAATTAGTCAACAAGCGACTGGAAATTACAAGTTATCTTGGATTCTCAAGCATGTTGATAGTTTCACAGTACAGTGCTTTTTTGCATGCTCTCTGCTTCAAATATGCACCCCAATACATTGCTTCACATTAGAAAGTTAGATAAACTTCAATGAAAGTGTTTATTCACAAAGTAGGGAATTGTTATGAATATTCATGGAGAATATAGGTGAAGAAATTGTTTATAGTCTGTCATCTGTTTACACTAAGCTTAAATCACAAAGGTCTCCTCTCTAGTTACTGTCTTCTCCTGATAAGGTGAGAGTCAAGGTTTCCTTTTTTAAAAAACCACAACATATTCTGCACTTCAATAGAGCACCTTCTTGCTAGACAACCCTTTGTATGAGCAATGTTTAGTCTTCAGCGAAGTTTTTTTTTTTATCCTTAGTCTGCACTTGAAATCTC